CTAATTAAGTGCCTAAAAATAACACAAATATTGTTGTACGTAAATACTACTTTCACGAAGGGAATGTTCTGACTTTCCGGAGCAAAAAGTCACTATCAGGTACTTAATGACTTCTTTCACTTGATTCATTTCACTCGTTTTCATTGTTCCGTATATGGTAAGTAGTTGAGAATATTTTCTGGAGCTGGCACACCGATCGGAGCAGCCAATCAGAATCCAGGATTTCAGTTACGTCATCATGGCGGGAAGTTTGAATTTAAATTTTAAGTACAGCACGCTGAGGGTGGGGTGGCCGAATGGGCTAACGCGTGTGCATAGCACCGCCGTTGCTCAGCAACCTGATATATGAGACAAAGTTATAAAAAATAGTTCGCGTCCCGGTGCCGGAGGAGTCTTTTAAAATCCCCGCCCACCCCCTCTGGCCCGGGAAAACCACCTATAGCCTTAAAGGCGAGGACACACACAAAAAACAAAAACGTTATGTAGGCGGGGTTTAAGTCCGGCCGCCATTTTGTTTTTACTGCGATTTAAGAAACTCATGGTGTAAGGTCTTGGTAGCCCTGACTAGATCCATAAATGAAAAAAAAAAACCATTAATTGGGAACAGAATAGAGTTATAATGTGTTCTCAATGAGTTACGCAGGAGTCAAATGTGTCGTTTGTTTGTTAGCTATGAATAAAAGTCATTTTTTAAATCGACAGAACATTTAAATAGAAGTTTTATTAAAAATAAAAGTTCTCTAAATCCTTTACTTTAAATGTTGATAGAGAAAAACATTTGCAGTTCCAAAAGAACTGAAAATCTTTCAACAATACAAAATTCTGCGATACCGAAACTTTTTAAAAATATAATTTTTTTTTTCGTTTCAAGCCCTGATCTGAACCTGTGATCTCAAACTGTGGGGAACTATGGATTTTTCGAACATTAAATGCATCTAGTTCAAAGGCTTTCGAACAATAATTGATGCTCCATTCATGTGTCCTAGTATTCGGGAATGACAATCTGCAAATTAGTTGATGCATTTGCTACTGACATTTCAGGCATGAGGAAGGATAGTATACAGCACCATAATCCTTGTCCTTAATTTGTGACCTTATCCTGGACTTGGTGAGGGGATCTTTTACCAACGTAAAAATGTGTATGTATTTAGTTTTTGTCAAATTTTTAATTTTGATAGTTAGAAGAAAAAGGAGAGTATAGTATTCTCAGCTTCATATTTGAAACCTTTATTTTAATATTGTTTAACTTTAAATTTTTATTTATGATTTTCATCTATAAATTGGTTACTTATTTTTTATATAAATGTATATATTAAATAAAGATGGGATATAATAATGCGAATTTATACAAAATTAATTGACTAATAATTAACGAATTTCAAATACTTTATTTTCATTTCAACAATAAATGTACTAATAAAGTTTTTTTTATCAAAATAAAAAAAATATATTAATCAACATCACATATATTTGTAACGTTTCGTCCTTTTTGGCCATTTTTCAAAATTTTTCTATGTTTATCATTACCATCAGTCTATTTTTTCTGAAACTATTTGTCAATATCCGCTCAGTAGAAAAAAAATGTTTTTGTTGCTCAAAATTTTTATTCGTGATATATTTTTTCATTCTAAAAACATTATTAAATAAGAAATAAAAACTAATAACAATAACATACTTATATTAAAATATTTATTCATTAAAAATATTCAAGATCATTACACTAATCCTTTAAATAAAATAAAAAGTGGGTAACTTCTATAGAAAATTAAGAACTTTATGTAAATCATTGATATTGGTTACTTGCAGCAGGTCACTGGAAGAATTGAGTTTTTTTTTAAACTAATACTTGTTAAATAATTTCAATTAACAACAAATTACTGATCTACAAGACAATCCTGAAACCCATTTGGACCTACGGACTTGAACTTTCGGGAACAGCTAAATTTTCTAGCATCAAAAGCATCCAATCCTTTCAGTCCGAAGTCCTTCGAACAGCAATCTATGCTCCGTTCTATTTAACCAACAAAATCCTACATAATGATCTTAATATCCCAGTTGTCCTAAACCTTATCCCTGAAAAAATTTCTAAATTCCATCAGAACCTTACATACAAATCATCCAAATCCCCTTGCACAATCCCTAGCTAGTTCTACTGTCAGTTACAATCCACCTCGAAGGGGCAGTGGCCTAGAGATCTTTTGAAGTGTATATCTTGGAGTTATAGATTCTCCACTCAAGACATGAATGTATCTGGCTAAAGGACTCTCGCTCAATCTGCACTGGCTTTAGCACCAGTGACGCGGTTGAGAGAGAAGCGCAGGGATCTCTTGGGGTCCTGCTTTCCCTTTATAGTTTGAGGGACAAGCCTGGCTTTGGGTTCCCTTCCTGATTGTATATATATTGTATATAGGTATAACTGTGTTTTTTATGTTTTTAATTTACTTATCTTTAGATTATTTTATTTTTTCTTGTACATAGGTTTGTGTTAATTTTATGTTTCCTGTATATATGGTGTGAATATATGTGTTCGTCTATCACTATAATTTTTTTCCTCGTGGCAGATTATTATATTTCCAAATAAAAAGAACTAAAAAAAAAGCTTGTTAAATGCCTAGGTAAGGATCAATATAATGGTTTTTTTAAATAGTTTACTGGAGCGATTTAATGGGAACGGAACTTATCATTTTCCGTTGACAGCATTGTTTAAAACTCAGTTTTCGGAAGTGCTAAATGCAATTTAACCGGATATTTTTCCTGCTGTTCATCAGTTGAATTTTAGAAAAAAAATAATTGAGAACTCTTAGCCCTAATACTTATAGCCCTCCAGTGGCTGATTGTATTATTATTCAATAAATAGATAAAAATAAATAAATAAATAAAATAAAGGGACAGTTTTTGTAAGTAGCCGCTTCATATTGAATTAGCGAAAAGTAAATAATATTTTCTTGCACTATATTTGTTATCGAAAGTCGAATTTGTGCCTTGAAAATTAAATCAGCCTTATTATCTACCATTCGCTATCCCTACATCATCATCAATATTCTATTAGAGGTAGTAATAGCTTTGAAATAGAGCGCTAGAGTAATCGAATAAAGTTGGGGAGGGAAACAATCTAATAATGGAGGAGGTAGTGGGAGCTGTTGAATACAAACAGCAAATACAGGGGTGGCTAGGGGGTAAGGGTGGTCACGGACCGAAAGAAAACTTGGCTGCCTGGAGGGGTCAAAGTTGGCTGGAGAAGTTGCTGGAGAATAAATGGCCTCCAGGGCTCACCGGCAGCTCTCATAAACTCTGGCATTTAGTGAATTCGCAGGATTGAGTGCGCCTCGGACAACTTACCCACCAACCCTTTTGTCCGGGTCGGAGGACACCTTGTAAGGACTTCCTGGATGGGATCCTAGGGCAGAGAGTGTAGGAGAGGAATTAGATAACTTGTGAGATGACATTATGTATTGCGATATTATCAACAGCTCTCACCTTACAATAAATATAAATAAGATCAATAAAAACATTATTGATGGATTTTTTGAAAAACTACAAAATTTTATAACAGAGTTTACAAAATCAGAAGATTGTCAATGACTCTAAGGGATAGTGGCAAACTCAATAAATAAATAAAAATTGATTATAATAGATCTATTATTTTTTTTTTATTTCTATATTTTTATGGTCTATTTATTTTTTATATGAATTTCTTTATTTTATGTAATTTCATTTTCAAGTTACGTTTCTTTGGTTTTATTATAGTTTCAACCTTTATATATATATATATTTTTTTTTAATTGCATTGTATATATGTTGTGAATGTCCCAGCTCTCGTACTCAGTGCTCTTAAGTGTAGCAAAATGTATTATTTCGTATTATAAATTAAAAAATATATATGAAGAACAATTTTATTACAAATGAACCAATGATTTTATGTCGACTTTCAAATTCATATATCGTTGCCTGGATAAAATTATATCCAGTATAATTACTCAATTTTAATTGTCCAATTATTCTTATTATTGTGGAACCTCTTCATAGCATTTTTTCGAACTTTCCATTTTTCAAAAATCATATTTCATTGAAACCATTGGAAGGAATGGAAATCATTTATAATATCATTTATAAGGCGTTGGATGAGAGATCCTTACACAACCACAGTAATTAGAACAAGTTAGGGAAGAGGCACTGCTGAGTAATTTTCTTCCCCATGCCTGTCATGTCATAATATCAGGTATCGCCATCACATCTGCTGATTGTCAACAATAAGTTGACAGGCGCAAATACATATTTTATAGACAACAACAAAAAAAATCTATAATACGATGTATATTCTGTGCGTTGAGATAAATATTGTAAAATGATGTATAAATATTAAATAGACTTTTAGAACTGGTAGATTATAAAATCTAAATATTATGTAGATGAATTATATAGTTGTAAATGGCATATTATTATTTCTATGTTATAATTTGGAAAAAAAATCCAAACCACAAAGGCTTATGTCTCCAAAATGAAGGCAAAGAAAACAATCCTGTAGACGTTCCGCCAATTCAGGCATCGTCAGGACAAAAAAGAACAGCAAATCGAACATCACTCCATGACATCCAATCGAATACTCAATCCTTCACATAAAGTAAAAATGCGTAAGATCACATAAAATTAAGAACTTTATGTATATCGTTGATATTGATTATCTACAGTAGGTCGCATGAAGATTTGAGAGTTTTTAAGTAGAGTTTAACTAATACTTGTTCAATATCAAGATGAGGATCAATATAACGATATTTTTAAAAATAGTTTTATGAAGCGATATGATGACATGGAATATGCGGTTGGATGTTCTTTTTTGTTCTGATGATGCCTGAATCTTTGACGGATTTATTTTCTTTGCCTGCATTTTGGAAACATGAGGCTGTGTGTTTTCGATTTTTTCCAAATTATAACCTAAAATTTACGTTCTGTCGCTTGATTAGTTTGTCACTAATTCACATTAATCATTATTGTTGTTTTAGATGGATCGGTCGGATAGCAAACGCGTGGTGCTGAAGAACATTGGACCTTCGACAAGCGGTACCTACAAGTGTGAAGTGTCGGCAGAAGCACCTTCATTTCACAGCGCTACAGCTGAGACAAGCATGACCGTCATATGTGAGTACATAGATTTTTCGCACACGGTAGTTTAATATATAATGTGTTAATTAATTTTTAGATGTTTTCAGAAAATACCGTTCTGTATCAATATATTTCATACCAAACAGTCAAACAAAAAATAGTAAGAAAAATCATATGGCTCTTAAGTAACATTACAAAAATCTATATTTTTATATAGGTGTAAACAAGTGTTATGCAAAGTACTTGGGATATAATTATGAAATGATGATTCATCTGAGTGTAACCGATTGTTGAACTAACAGATTTATGGATTTCAATTTCATACTTTTTGTGATTTTTTTTTTTAAATCATGAGCCTAAAAAGTAGATCTTTAGTTTTTAGATATATTGATTTATTTTATATTTTTAAAATAATAACCATTAGCAATTAATAATTCTTTCAAGATTAAATGAATTTTTCAGAATAATTATAATTTATATTTTCTGTAATATTAGTAACGTTAGTACATATATTAATTTAATTAGTATATAATTAATTAATTTAATGGTATATAATTATAATATCAGTAATTTGTAATTTTCTCTGAATATTTTGGGAAATTTAACTGTAGCTATTGTTATAGTTTTTTAATTGCATTTTTAAGTAGTTCGTATAAATATATATTTTTTATTAAGCTACTTAATTTATTTCTTTTTCATACTTTGCTCTTTGAAAATTTTATAAATTGTTTCCTAATTATTTTTTTTTTTGTTCTCCTCTACCTCACCTTTTTAAAAAATAACTTACTCATGTCAATTGACTGGTTATTGAAAATTGAATCAAGATCTCGTTCAGCCATTATTTTCTATACAATTTTCAGTGGCAATATACACTTTTTCGATACAAGCTATTTATTATTAAGCTGTTCCAACATCATAAAATTATATAACATAAGTCCTTGGTTTGTGAAATATCATTTTTTTATACCAATAACAGCTAAAATCAAGTTTTTAATAGTGTATTCGAACTATCTATTTAAATGAGAGCTAATCGATATTTTGTTAGTTGGTTTTTTTTTTAACTATTGCCCATACATTTTGTCTTTTCATTACTGAAATTTGAATTAAATAATAACTGTTAAAGTAGTGAAACCTAATATAAATAAAAGTTGTCATATAAATTCTGACATAATCTAATCAGATATTGACGAAAATGCAGCTAATTGGATAGCCTCGATCAAAACCATTCATGTATCATGATCAAAACAATTCATATATTTTCATAATGAACCGTAATCGATTTTTTAGAAATCGAGATACTTATCTAGATCCCTAAGTTAAAAGCCCAATGGATTTGCGTTTGTGCATTTTTTTTTTATTCATAATCTAAATATTCACAACGAAACATAGTGTGGAAATAAGCTTATTTAGTAGTCTTTTTTTCCAAGGCGAAAGATAGTTACAATTGTTACGTAACAAAAAAAAATACATCGAAAGTTTTTTTTAAAACCTTTTTATAACAATCGAAATTAAGAAGAGTTGTGTTTTTATAGTATGATTTTATTAGTTTTTTTCACCCAAGATAGTACATTGTTTATTTCCAAACCCTTTCCAAAACCAGCCCTATTTACTATTATTTTATTTGTTTATTTAGAAATATTACATTCTGTCACATCAAGGACATTTATAATAGTGATTTACTATTAAAATAAACGATGATTTCCGTAAGCATATGCTGCAAATAAAGATTTTTTTTCCATTTTCATTTTTTTTTTTTTTGTTCTATGGTCTGGGTATTCTCAATTTACTGCATGTTTTGCTAATGGTCTCAAGTTTGAATCCCGGCTCATGGCAGAAAATTTATTTATTCTATTTTCATTGGGCGTGTCGTGATCCTGGATCGGGAGATCTTCCTGGAGCACACCCAGCCTCTATAAAGTGGGTACCCTTAATTAAATAATTAATTAAAAGAGGAAACCTGGCGGTTGAGCGTGATCTCGGTCAAATCATATCCTTGCTCAACCGTTGACCTAGAAACAGTGCTTTCCCTAAGCAGTACTTAACCCAAGACTCTTCATGGGTAGTAGTGCCACTGGTTTTTTTTTTTTTTTCATTTTAAGAAGGTTTATAATCTCATAATAATTTCTTGCCTATTTATATTTTTTCTAATTTCGAATAAGTCGATGGGGCACATCCTTGTATTTGTGTTGAAATTACACTAAAATTAAAGATAAATTAACTTTGAAATATTAAAAAAAATTGGAATTATATTAATTTATTTTTGGTATTTTTAATTTCATTTGAAATTATTATAGTTTATTATATTTTTTTAGACTTTGTTATAAATGAGAACAAAGAGTTGCTATAAAGTAGTGTTGGTCGTAATATTGTTTATATATAAAAACTTTTGAACGTGTTGAAGTGCTTTTGCGATATAATGGATTTGTTAGCCTGTAAGTTTTCTGTAGTTTTCTTAATCTGTATTTAACTATAATGTAATTATAATTAAAGGTATAATTATGAGAAGGAGGTTATAAGAAAGGAAATTATATAATTTTTTAACATTTTTAAAATTGTGAAAATTCAAGCATACGCAAGGGAGGTATTCGGTATAAGGTAGAATTTATATTGAGTTGTATTATATTCAGTATTTCTATTTTATTTTGTACATAACTCTATGTTTGAATAAAAACTTCATGTCATTTTACTAGGTTTATTAGGAAGGTCGATGATTAAGGTCATTTAAGTTTCTCCAGGGGCTACGATACAGTTGCGCATAACGTAAAAGAACTGCAAATTTTGCATACTTATAGCATAAGGCGCAGTTTCATATTTCTGCCTTTAGATCAACTGTCTGTAAAAATTATGTGAATCACTTATTTACAAAGTGAACAAAAATAATTTTTTCAGTAATAGAGATTGGCTAGGATTTATATTTAGTAACAACCAACAAATATGGTAGACAAATATCCTTAAAACAAATATCCTTAAAAACGGGCCTAAATGTTTGAAAAGTTGTGTAAAAAAAATAATTATTTCCAAAAATTGTTTTCTTGGAATTTTTTCCCAAGAATTTACTGATACTTGCATTTCTTCAGTATTTAAAATATAAAATAATTCATTAAAAGATTTTTTAGACATATTATTTGAATGTAAATTAAAAATAAATTTAATTGGTTTTTCAATTATTGTAAATAAAACATTCAATTTTCGTAGTGATATTTTAATAACTCTTTTCTTTCGGAATCATACACCTTCACTCTCTCCGAACCGAATCCTAATCAACTTTGTTTTGTTAAAAAACGGGTTTTGAATTTTAATTTGTTTCAAAAGCGATACTTACCAAGATTCAATGTGTTTTGATTACTATTAAAGTAATCAATGATTTTCAGAATTCACGTTCAAAAGAACAAAAGTGATTTTCGTAATTTATTCTCTATAATATTTTGGTTTTGATATTAGAATTTGATTCACTTTAGAATTGGGTTCACTTTGGAAATGATCGACTAATGTGTGAACATATATACAGGCGTATAATTAACTGAATGGCACACATTTAATATTCATATAAAATAATGTATATAATATATATATATATATATATATATATATATATATATATATATATATATATATATATATATACATATACATATTTCCATAATATAACAATTTAAAACACAGTAAAAAACAATAAAATTAGGAAAACCTTAGAATATATTTATATTACTAAAAATATAAATTATGTCCAAATATTAAGTGAGATATATTTTTAATTAGATAGGGCATTGGGCAATAATAAACATCAACAGAGCTATATCCCATTCAATCATTTAGTTAATTTCTACCTGAACATACATCCCTAAAGAGCTCATATACTCAGTCAATATTTTAAAAAAAGACAGAGGAGGTAGTACCGTGTGGGGTGAACGTACTTAGAGTTTAAATAAAACCATAGTAATCAATAATATAAATTGTATAACTTCTGAAATAATGGCATGCATACATTTTTATTGTTGAGGGACAAGCGTCAATTAATGTGCAAACATTATATATACATACATATTTATCCTGAATCTTTAATATTTATATGCGATATTAGCAACAAAAAAAAATGTTAATGAGCCTTTTAAGAATATTAAATTATATAACGCCACATGTCTTCGTCTATTACACTTAATTATATATGTGTCCGTCCATCATAATTAACTCATATTAAAACTATTATATGGCTTGAAAATATCCACAAAATAAAATTAAAAACATTAGGATCACCACATCTATTACAATTCAAACTAAATCAACCACTCACTTAGTAAACTTTCGATATTATACATTTGTAGTCATCATCAAACGATAGTGCTATTCTATACTGTGAGCTTCACTAGGGGTATTACAATATTTTCCGTCTCTTAATGCCACTGACCGCATCTATTGTTTGCTTTTTTTATTTTTATTATTATTTTTTATTGGGATATAATTAAATCTGTACCTCTAGCATTTGACAATGATGAATCTACATATTAATCATTATTTAAAGACACTGATATTTTATATTGTAAGCTTTGTTAGCAGAAACACACCTCATTTTAAAGAAGAAATCAATGTATTTTTTATTATTTTATTTTTTAAAAGAGTATAATTATAATTTTTCCTACTGTACATAGTCTTAAGTGTTTTATCATAGTTTGAAGTGTTTTGTATATAGATTTTTGTTTGTATATAGCTTGTTTAACTAATATTTTCTTTACTTTCTCTTTTTTATTATTGTTTTATTTTGGCCAGATTTTTATTTTAATTATGTTCTATTTTGTTATTCTAAAAGGACTTTGCCCAGAATAAAGTTATTTTCTATTTCTATTTCTATTTCTATTTCTATTTCTATTTCTAAAGTCCATATGGACATACACCTCAACGATTGTTTGTTTAGCGAAAATGACATACTTACAGAAACAAAACGCACTTCCAATATTTCCAATCCAAAATTTTAAGACTAGTAGTATACGTTTTCTAGTATGTAAATACCGAAAGATACCGTCTAATATCAGACAAATATC